GCGAATAGGCCGCTTCGATTCCTCCTAACAACTGGTTCGGATCCTTAGTCACAAAAACTATTTTTTTAACATCTTTGTAGATCAAAGACTCAAGTTGACTCACTCTTTATTCGTGTTCCTACTTACTTTACATCTAAATATTCAGAATCTGGCTTGGAGTCCTTATTCACCACTTTTTTCTATGAGTGAAAACACGAAAGATTCACAAGCCTAGAAAAATATCCCATAAATATTCATTATAACAAAATGTCTTTAATTAAGGCTACGCGATGGACAGAGCCTTCGTCTCCTCGATCCTCGGTTACCTTTCAACATCTCCAGCTGTCGAACTTCCACCAGGAAAGGGAAAAGCCATCGCGTCTCACCATTCCGCGTGCAGCTTGGGGGGTGTCGTCGGCGTTTGGATTTTCGCCCCACGTTTGTTTATCCTCGGGAGTCAGTTGAGCATCTTTGTTTTAAGCGGATTTAGACTTTAATTTTATACATCTTTTTCTTCATGTGTAATTCGAGGTAGATATATATGTGGCCTTTTATTCTTATTATCTTACCAATTCAACGCACATTTGAAATACACTTGAACATGAAAATAAAACGCGTCCATATCAACAAGGTCCTCACATGATGTCTGAAGTCGTCGGGTCAGTCGGGGCTCAGATCGCGAAGCGGGAGGCCGGGCGAGCGCTTCTTAGACCCCGCAGCGCAATCCTTCGGAAACGAGTGGATTTGGCGAATGTGAAACCGCGCCTTTAGCAGCAAGGGCGTGGATTCCGTGGGAAGGGAAGGGTATTTGTGACTTATGGGCAGTTTGGAAGAGAGCCGAAGGTCAGGGATGCAAAGGCAGAGAGAAAAAAGGATAAAATGGAAGGGGATTAAAAAAGATAAAAATGATTAGATTGCGAGGTAGATAAAGGATAGGCAAACATGCAAATAAGAGGGGAAGCTGTGATAGGTTAACAGGTGGATAAGTAAATTAGTAAATATAAATTTAGATACATGTATTGATACTGGAACAGGTAAGAGGCGCGAGGATTAGAAACTGATCAGTTGATGGGCGTCGAAAAATAAAGGCGTATGGAGGAATAGGGGTAAAGGACCAAGATGGAACGAAGGTAGGCCGATAATGTACAGGAAGAGAGACGGGTATGACGACGAAGCACGTAGACAGATGGACAGGAGACTAAAGGATGGATTAGCCAATAGATAAGATGGATAGATAAGTGGCACCAACAGGATGCGTGGATATGGTAATCAAGTGCATGTCCCCCTCCCCCCCGCAGAAAGAGGTGTACGAGGAGACGGCGAAGGCGCTGGTGGAGGACGTGCTCAATGGCTTCAACGCCACGGTCTTCGCGTACGGCGCGACGGGCGCCGGCAAGACGCACACCATGGTGGGCGCCCCCGACCAGCCGGGCATCATGGTGCGCGCCCTCAACGACCTCTTCCACGCCCTCGAGACCTCGCACGCCCACGCCAACATGCAGGTCAGCCTCGCCGCCCGCGGGCCCTTCTCTGGTTGTGAACTTTTATATGTGTGTGTGTGTGTACATAAGTAGACATATATGTGTATGTATATATCTATGTTGATTTAGATGTATATACTATATATTCATCCACCCAGCTATCTGTTTATCTATCTTTCTGTCTATCTTTATTAATCTGTCGATCTATACACAATCTATGTGTGTGTGTGCGCACGCGCGAGTGCGTGCGTGTGTGAGCGTTTGTGAATTGATTTGTAAAATGAAAATGGTAAATGATTTACAAACATGCAAATGCGGTCATAACACAGACATACGCACGCGCGCGCGCACACACACGCACGCACATGCACATACACACACGCGTGTGTATGTGTAAGTTTATATATGGACATAGATAGAGAGATTATATATACATAAATAGATAACCACTTGCACACATACATAATACATATGAGTGTGAGCGCCGGGGGGGGGGGGGGGAGAGGCGACCCCAAGAAGCACTCAGTCCAGCAACACTTAAACAAACAAGTAATTCCTCGTTAGCAACTACACAATGCTGAATTGCCAATTAGTGATTAACAGGTTCTAATATGATATATAATGCAAATAGCAGTAATACTACTTTTCAGTACTGATGATAACAAATGAAACGATTGATAAGAATGAACGCATTCATGCTGGCAAATGTAGAAAAGGTATGAATGAGAATGAATATCTTCACAATGCAAGAGATGTATTTGAAGGTTTCGATTATATCTTCGTCAGAAATACATTTCTACATATTCAAAGATAAGAATAATAAATATGAAAATAGTTTTAGTAATCATAACAATGATAAGAATAAAGGGATAAACTCGTAATGATATAAGATATTGATAACAACAATAGTACTGCTAGCAATAACAGTAATAATGATAACAAAAACAACGATGGTGTTCATCATGACGAGGAAGATGATCGCGATAAGAATGAGAAGGATGATAACGATGATAGAGAAGATAATGGTAATGAAAATGATG